GAAACCCCAAAGATAAAATTGACCTGGAAAACCAAGGCATATACGAAATCCCCTGAGATTATTCCACCAAACTGTCAATTATTTGGAAGCCTGCACTCACAAACAAAAAAATCTCCACACCACTAGCCAGGCAAACACCTGGGCACAAACAGATCCCCCCTGATATCTCCAGCTCAAACATACCCCAACCAGGCACCCAGATGAAACCTAGCTTCCTAACAAATGATAGCCACCCATTTACTCCGAGCCAAGCTGCACTAAAAGCCTCCAATACAGGAACACAATGTTGCCAGCCAATCAAGACACACAAAAAAAGCCACAAAACAGACAGAAGATATTAGAAACACCAATCAAGCAGAACACAGCAAACTCCAAGACCAATAAACACAGACCAAGACTCCCAACCAATCAGGATGAAAGAAAAAACCATTCTGGCACAGCAGTAGGCTAGCCCCAAATTTAAAACTGAAACAACTGTAAAAGTCTGACTCACAGACGAAACAATACAGAAGCCTGATGATGGCAGATGAGATTCTGCCAAAACTCGTTTCAACAGACGTCTAGACCAATGATTCTCAATCTCAGCAACTTTAAAATATGTAGATTTCAACTCCCAGAATTCCCCAGCCAGCATGCCAAATAAAGGATTCTGGGAGTTGAAGTCCACACATCTTAAAAGTTGTCAAGTTTGAGAAACACGGCTCTACAAGACCAAAATCTACTTACCATCTATTGCTTCTATATCCAAATAAGGAAAACAAACCAAGACTACAGATTTTAAAGTAATATAAGTAAAATATTATTTTGTCTAAGCCCCAGAAAACTTACCATGCCTTTGCTTAGTAGAAACAGTGCTCTGAAAAAGAAAAGGAAAGTTATTAAGATTCCAACACTGTAGAGATCTCCCTGAAATACAATGTATTCTCACCCTAACCCTAAAACTGCATCCAAAAAATATTTCAGAAAAAAACGAAACTGTAACTTTTCATGATTAGTTATTGTTATTATAGAAATGACCAAGTTTTCTGATGATATGAAACTAAAAAGTTGAGACTGTAACTTTACTTTGTAATGTCTGTACCAGAAAAGGTGGAAGTCAGCTGCTTTTCTTTTTCCTTCACGTCTTTTCCCCTTCTTTTTCTTTTCCCATTTTTCCTATTGTCTTTACTTTCATTTGTATTTTACATTAAGACAGACTTCAATAAAATACTTTAAAAATATTGCAATCTGCAAAAGAGTACAGAACATATTTCATAACTCTTGTCTGTTCAATGTCTCCCTGTGAGAAAAAAAAGCCACCCACCTTGTATATTCTGATCCTACTACGCGGGCATATTCTGCTCCAACTCCCAAAAGGTCGCAGGCGGAGACCAAATCTTTTTCAAGCGTATGAAGTTGCTAATGAGGAATACATAGAGAAACACACTTAAGGTTGAAAAAGCTCTGAAACGGTCCAGATTTATTTATTTTGATTTTGAGAATCAAATTGGGCTGATTAAGGCACCAGGTTAGAAACTAGCAGAGATGCATTCAAAGTCAGTAGCGTGGCCTTGGCCTAGTCACTCTCTCTCAGTCCAACTCATCCCATAGGATTGTCTACGGCAGTGGTGGCTAACCTTTTTGGGATTCTGTGCCCAAAATTGCACGCGTGCACTCACGTGCCAGCACCTAGAAGGCAATGCGTGCGGCCCCCCACACCTCCTGCGCATGCATGCACGATTCCCCCCCTTGCCTGCACTGCACCTCCCAGCTGATTTTCGGCCAGTTTGAGACCTTTTTGAGCCTCCTAGAGGCTCAAGGGAAGCCTCTGCAGCCTTTGAAAGCTGAAAAATGGGCCCGTTTCGTCACTTCCGGTATTTCTGTAAATATAGGAAGTGATGAAACAGGCCTTTTTTTCGGCCTACAAAGGCTACAGAGGCTTCCCTCGAGCCTCTGGGAAGTTGAAAAAAGCCTCAAAGTGGCCGAGAATCAGCTGGGAGGCGCGCACATGCACAGTGAGGTTAAGTTTGCCTGGGGCTCACATGCCCACACAAATGGATCTGCGTGCCACCTGTGGCACGTGTGCCATAGGTTCGCCATCACGGGTTTATGGTGATTCTCAGTCATCCAAGTCATGGTTTGTTTATTTATTTATTGAATTTACATTTCCGCCTATTCACCCATGGCGACTCGAGGCGGCTTACAGAATGCAAAACCATATTTAAAACAAAAAAAATCAATAAAAACTAATATAAAAAAATCAAATAAATTAATAAAGTACAATAGAACAAAATCTGGAAAAAAAAATATCAACCCCAACTCCCACCTTCCGCCCCGATGACAGCAGATCACACGAGCCATTTGATGGGCTCCATCAAATCTGATTGTCAAAAAGGTGCTCTTTTTTGGGGGGGGGGGGGACTTTCTTTGTTTACCTTGAAGACATTAGCTTCTCATCCAAGAAATGAAGAAGCTTCTTGGATGAGAAACGAAATGTCTTCAAGGAAAAACAAAGAAAAGTCCAGCTGCTTTTGAAAAAAAGCACCTTTGGGACATTCCATAGTTAGTTAGTTAGTTTACTTTATTGTCATTGCACCTTGCACAACAAAATTAAATGCCATTTTCAGTGTACATTATACATAAAAAACCACACACACACACACACACACACACACACACACATTCACATTCTGTACCACTGAATTGAAAACCTATTTTCAAGTTCAATTTCAAGTTTCAATTTCAAGTTTTCAAACTGAATTGAAAATCTCCTTTCTATTTCATGTTCAATAGGACTGTTGTGGGGAAAATAGGAGAAGGAAGGTGTATTGGATATGTTCACTCCCTTTGTTTGTAAAAACAATAAAAATGGGATTCAAATAAATTTTCAAACAAGACTTTCCAAGCTCAAAATTTTTTTAAGGTTCTGCAAACCTCTAAGGTGATGTTGATGCCACAAACCCATTTATTTTCTGTTAAGCACTGGTACCACAAAGCAAAAAGTTACTAATGTAACTGACCTCTTCCAGAATTCCCCACTTACATTTTTCTCGTAGAACCAAATCTGTAAGGTGGGCGGATGTCAAGACCGGCAGAATGGTGGTCACAGCACAGTAATAAAACTTCCTCCCCTATTGTCTGTTATGCTGACACTACCTACACAGACAAAGGGATTGGGGGTTTGGTTGCAATGCTGCAACCGTGATTTTGTTTCTCTGGACCCACTATGAGGGTGCCATTACTGCTTCGATACTTAGAACTGAGCATATGAACCACCACTCACCTGCTCACCTATACAACTTTGTACCAAAGGACAAGAAGTGCCCCAGTTACAAAACTCTTTCCTAAGGATCAATTCAGAAGGTCTCCGTACTATCTTTTTTCCGAAGAGAAAAGAAGACATGGCTAGGCATTTGTGGAATAGCTACTTCAGGAGCAGACTCTCTTTTAAATTCTCTTATGCTGCTTTTTTGCCTCCGTTCTATTCATACGCCTGCCACTGAGTCTTGTTTCACTTTTTTGTATTTATTATTTTTAAACAGTGCTGGATTTCTTGCACCTTTCTTGAAGGCTTTCTTTATTACTTTATTATAAACAACTTTGGGCTCCCCCAGAAGGAGGAATGCTACAGAAATAAAAGCAATAATAATAATAATAGTAATTTACACAGCTAAGTGCATTCCCGCTTGCTTTATCTCCTGCTGTGGGCAGATACTTGGGGTTGTTTTGTCTCTACTGCAAGGACATTCTGTCTCAGTGGTAAGGTCAACCCTGCAGCCATGTGTTTCCCTCTCGGATGTAAGTACTGTAGAATCCCCCCAAGCTCTATACTGTTTTTCATACAAGTAGTCCTCGCTTAACAACCACTGGTTCAGCGACCATTCGAAGTTACCACTGAACAAATGGTAGTTACATCCAATCCTCAAAAGTTACAGCCATTGCCGCATCTGCATGGTCCTATCATCAAAGTTTGGATACCTGGCGATCTGTCCACATTTGCAGCCACAACATGCACTGGCGGTTCCCGTGGCAAGGTGCATCATCAGCCATGGGAAGAAGAAGGTAATAAAGGTCAGCTGAGAGTGGTGGAGGACAACAGGAGGGAGGGAGTGGGTGGGTGGGTGTGTCAGTGGACAGCAGGGTGACCAAAAAAGCAGAAATGGGGAGAGATAAGTGGGTGAGGGGAGTTGAAGCAGAGGCCATCGCAGCAGAGCAGAAGTGTAAAGTCCTCACTGCAACAAGACTACCATAAACTTCTGTCATTAAATAGTGGAATCACACAATGTTTCACCTAATAACCACTTCACTTAAGTGATGGAAATTCCATTCCACGTAAATTTGTTAAGCGAGGACTAGCTATAACTTAAACCATTGGAGAACAGTGAAATTGAGCTTACCGCAAGCTGAAAAAGAAGGCGACAGTGCCAGTAAGGAGTCTGTTGTGAAATCTGGATGGCTTTACGCAGCAGTGGCTTTGCTGTGTCAACAGAATTCTGAAAAGTATGGACAATAAAAAATCAAATTATCATACAGAGATGGAGGAGGAGGAAGAGGACTCAAACGCAAAATCAACTGGAAAAAGTCACGCTTCGTAAAGCAAGTGGAATACCATTCTATTAATTGGAGAGTGAACAATTTTGCAAAAATGACACATCACTTTTCCCAAAGATACATTTTAGCAAATATATTTGTGTAAAAGCTGTGTGAGGAGGTCCAAAGATCAGGAGCAAAGCAAGCACAGGGATTCCGTTCATGGCATCTATAGTTACAATGCATCCCAGATGGATGTACTGGGCAGATTTTTTTACCTTTCTAGAGAAGGACAGTCAGAATAGATGACTGGAAATTCTGTGAGAGATATTCTGCATTCACCCAAAATTACATCTGCTTCTGAACACCTAACACCTAGAAGCTCCCAAAAAGGGGCATCAAGATGTTAACTCTACTTGTTAGGAGTTAGGAGCCTGGTGGTGTGGTGGTTAGAATGCAGCATTGCAGGCTAACTCTGCCCACAGTCAGGAGTTTGATCCTGACAGATTCAAGCCTTCCGTCCTTCTGAGGTTGGTAAAATGAAGACTTCGATTGTTGTGGGCAATATGCTGACATCGTAAACCACCCAGCGAGTGCTGTAAAAGCACAACAGGGCGTTATATAAATTGCTGTTGGTATTGATTGCATCATCTTACATATCAAAATAATAAAACATAAACAAACTGAACAAACACCCAGTTCCTTTTAACGGAAGTGCTACTGACATGCAAGTAAGTCAGGTAACAAAGATGGATAAAGGGTCTTAGCTCTTTTCTATTTTGTATGGAAGAAAGTCTTAAACATCTTTTGTGTATCGAACCCATTAAATATTAACATTTGAAGAACTGCATAGGAAAGATGCTCTTCTTCTTACCTCTTGACAGTACAACTCAGACAAGAGGCTGGCAGCTTCAAATTTGACATCCTCAAACTGTGGAATCTGGTAGTGTCCGAGTTAAGCTAATATCACTTTCTGTTAAAAGTTAAAACAATAGACCTTCTTGGTTGGAAAAATTCCAATGCTATGTTTAATGTAGAATATGCCAAGTACTGAACTACACTCTTTATAACTACCCAGTGCTCCTCTCTGTAATATATTTAACTGGACATCCCTTTTCCAGGCTGCTTCAATAATTTCAGCAAAGTTAGGCCCTAATATTTTAAAATCAGGGTTCCCCAACCCCTGGGCCTCAGCCCATTACCAGGCCTTGAGCCATTCAGAACCAGACTGTGGAAGTGGTGGACGAACGCATGTGTAATGTAACCCATGGTGTAGAGTTTCCTGCCTAAGCAGAAGGTTGGACTAGAAGACCTCCAAGGTTCCCTCCAACTCTGTTATTCTGTTCTGCCATCTTCTGTATGCCCATCCCCATGTGCACTAGTGGCAAGAAATCAAGCCAAGTTGATGTTAACAACCTACAGAAGTTTAATTGAGAATTGAGAATTCCAGTTTTCATGAGATCAGCAAAAAAAGGATACTTGTTGTGATATCAGCCACTGAAAAAAGAAGAGAGAAAAAAAGTTAATGATACATTTCTGAAACACAATAGATGAACAAATAATTTTTATTATGGTTTATGGATAATCAAGACACAGTGAAGTGACAGTGCTGCACTGTCCTTTTCCTTCCTGCCAAACTGAATCTTCCTGCAGTCTCAAAACTTAGAAAAGACCAATTCTTCTTTAGCCAGACTTTACTCTCATGACCTTCTTGAAATGCTTATTCTGTTATTCCTTGAAATAGTCGCTTTTCATTTTTCCTACACCTCCTTAAGTTCACTCTTAAAATGTTGTATCTGATAAGCTCAGCAGAAGCCCCAAAATTCAAATTCCCAAGTTCCCAAGTTGGATGGACAGGCTTGACTCAGAAAGATCAGTGCTAATCAGTATAAACTATGAAAGGGAAATTAGCTGGCAGGCAAATATACATGTATTCATCTGGGTTTTCGCCTTATTTTCTCTCTTCCACCTGATTGCTGGGAAACAACTAAGAGACTGGAAGGTGGGAATACTGCTACAAACTGTTCTTGGAGGAGAGGCTATCACTGGTATTTCTGAGACTGATTCTGCCCACTGTTGGCACATGCCACCTTGGGCGATTATCCATAAAGGAACTGAGTCCCGAGGCCGAAATGGGATCCCTTTCCAATGTTAGTTTACAACGCAAGACAAAAGTCTGGTTTCATTACAGGTAGTCCTTGACTTATGACCACAATTGAGCCCAACATTTCTGTTAAGTGAGACATTTGTTAAGTGAGTTTTGCCCCATTGTATGACCTTTCTTGCTTACAGTTGTTTGGCAAATCACTGCAGTTGGTAAGTTGGCAACACGGTTAAGTTTCCCCACTGATTTCCCTCGTCAAAAGGTCGCAAAAGGTGATCGCATGATCTCAGAACGCAGCAACAGTCATAAGTATGAGTCACTTGCCAAGCATTTGATCACATGATCATGGGATGCTACAAAAGTCGTGTGAAAAATGGCCACAAGTCACTTTTTCAATGCCATTGTTACTTTGAACTTCACTAAATGAACTATTGTAAGTCGAGGACTACCTGTATAAATAAAGTTTCTATGTTCCTATTTATTTTCTCTTTTTATTCCTAGAAGAGATGTTTTCTTTTCTGTTCAACCCATTATTAACTTATTTAAAATGTCACAATTTAAGAGCTATGCATTTTACTCCACCAAGTTTTTGGCAAAGCGCCTGCCTCCTTTGCTAATACCTACAAATAATTTACCTATAGACTCTTTTTTGTGTATTGTATAACTGCTTTAAAAATCTATCCAGTTATACATGTAGAGAAAAAAAACAAAACCTCAAACTCGTTCATTTATAACAATGTAGCAATATGTGACACAATAGAGAGAAACTGTACAATCTTCCTTAGATTTTTTGCCAAGTTTATGTGCAAAAGCAGCAAACATTAAGCCAGATTCCTTTTGAACTATCTTGCACAACCTGATGTCTTCCAGATGTGCTGGTTTACAATCAACAACACTCCCAATTAAAATATGTCACTTTAATTCTCAAAGCCTCTTTATAGCTCGAATGCAGCACCAGCAAAAGTTTAGTCCACAACAGTAACATATTTGTCCTTCTATGGACAAGAAGGAGAAAGGAGTGCTAAATATACAACCTTGCACTCCTGATCAAAAGGCAAAGATAAGAATCTAATGAGAAAAGAAATATGTTTAAATATTTCAGGGACAGGGATAAAAAGAAAAATAGAACCAAAACATGGATGGAGCTAGCATCTTCACCTCCAGGGTGGAAGACCCAGGTGAAGAGAATAAGAAATGCTATAATGGGCACCCAATGAGTTTCAGGAGAAACTACTGCAGACTGCGTGGCCACCACTGAGAAGGCCCAGCATGTCTGGACAGCAGCAGTGTTGACTCTAAATGGTCTTCATAGTTAGAAGGGACCTTGGAGGTCTTCTAGTCCAAACCCCAGCTCATGCAGGAGACCCTATATCAGTGAAGACAAGTGGCTGTCCAGTCTCTTCTTAAAAGCCTCCAGTGATGGAGTACCCACAACTTCTGAAGGCAAGTCATTCCACTGATTGTTCTCACTGTCAGGAAATTACACAGGTCTGTCTACCTGGGTCTACAAATGCAGGAAGTCTTCTACTTACAACAGTTTGTTTAGTGACTATTTGAAGTTACAGTTCAACCCAAGTTACCGCATGACTTATGACTGTTATTCACCCTTACGACCATCGCAACATCTCCATGGGCACGTAGTCAAACTTCAGAGGCTCGGCAACTGACTTTTATTTACGACCCTTGCAGTGTCCCAGGGGGCTTCTTTTGTGACCCTCTGACCAGCAAAGTCAAGGGTTTCACTTCACAAACCCCTTGCTAAATTAACAACTGATGTGGTTCACCTAACAAATGTGGCATGAAAGATTCCTGATAAAAGGAGGCAAAATACATCACAAATACATCGCATAACAAACGTCTCAATTAGCAACCGAAATTTGGGGACTCCACTGTGGCCAGAAGCCGAGGACTACCCGTGTTTTCCCCTGTCTGGGGCCACACAGCCAAGGCACACGTGTACACAAGCACTGCAGCCCTCCTTCCCTCCCTCCCTCCCTGGAGCAATCTGAGGGGCGCCGCCGGTCACCCCGCTTCCCTTCCACGTCACCCCGGGACGCACCGCTTTCTCGAGGTGCCCGCGGGCCTGCTCTCCGTTGCGCGTGTGGTGGTAGAGGACGGAGCCGAGCTGGAGGTGGGTGCGGGCTTCGACCCGAGCGGGGGGCTTGCGGGGCAGCACGGCCTGGAGGCAGTGGACGCAGAGCCGCACCTTGGGCGGGCTAGAGGTGCGGAAGTGTTCGGCCAAGCCCAGCAGCGCCACGTACCACGACTCGGACGCCCCCGAAGACACCGGAGCGCCGCCGGCCCCGGACGCGGAGGACGTCGACGACGAGGAACCGGCGGAGCCGCCGCCGCCGCCGCCGCCTCCTCCTGCCGTGGTTTCAGCCCCGCCGGAGATCGCCGCCCCCGAGCCGGGCCCGGCGCTCCCTCCCACCGCGGGCTGGGGTGGTCCTGCTACGGACGAGGCGGCTGAAGCTGCTGCCGCCGCCGCCGCCGCTCCCGCGGCTGCGGAGGACGACGAAGGAGTGGAGGAAGAGGTTGGAGCCGTCGTGGTGGTGGCAGCGGTGGAGGAGGAGGAAACCTGCGCTCCGCCCCCGTTGCCCGCCGTCTCCGTCGAGCCGCCCGACGCCCCGACGGCGGCCATCTCGGCTTGGCCTCCGTAAGGACCGGGAGGCAACGGGAGGTCGCTGCGCGGCGGACTTCAGAGACTCACCGCGCAGGCGCAAGCGCCGCAACGCTTGATGGGAAAGTGAGTCCTGGAGACGGTGGCAGCTTATTTCATCCCCATCCCGCGTGGAGAGGCTAAGTTGGGAGACAAAGAATCCTGCACTCCGGGGAAATCTGTATCCCCACTTCTCCCACCCGGGTCAGGAAACGGGTCCTCCTCCTAGAGAGGTTTAATGTCATCCCCTCCTCTTTCTAGACCTCTGTTCTTCCTTTGAAAAAAAAAAATAATGTGCATCACATCAAAACAAAAGTACGCCTTCGCACCGCCATGAGATGCTTGTCCAATTCCATCCACTTCACCGGCCCTTATTTCCAAAAGTGTGTTGCAGATTTAAGACTTAATTTTAAAAAGATGTGCACAGCTTATTTTTAGAACTTTAGCAAATTATGAAGAGTTCGGTACTTATTTGCTTTATAATGCCTGCATTTTATTAAAGTCTTGGATCTTTGATTCTTATGGGAATGAAAAGCGATGTTTTTGATCATCAGAGTCATTTCGAAATCAGCCACCTGAAGGGGAGGCACACATTTCAAAACAAACATGCCGCACTCTTTAGTAATAGTGGCCTTTAACTCCTTTTGCATCATGGGAAATATAGTTCCCCCATACGTAGTCAGGACTAGAATAGCTGAGGGGAAGTTTTGCAGCCGGTAAACAAGTCTGGTAAAAACCACTATTTTTTCCTTCCCCGTTGCCACACAGCACCTGACGGAAATGTGTCAAGGAGAGAAGCAACCTGAAATTAAGGCGAAACCTTCTAATTTGGAGGCTTGCCTTCAGAAGGTGTGGGTGTTCCATCACTGAGGCTTTCAAAAAGGAGACTGGAGAATAATTTAAAATAGAATAGAATGAATTGAGCTGGAAGGGGCCTTGGAGGTCTTCTAGTCCTACCCCCTGCTCAAGCAGGAGACCCTATCATTCCAGACAAATTATTCTCCAAAGACAGAGTGCAGGACAAGAAACAATGGTTGGAAACTAATCAAAGAGAAAAGCAATGTGGAATTAAGAAACTTCCTAAAAGTGAGGACAATTAACCAGTGGAACAACCTGCCTTCAGAAATTGTGGGTGCTCCATCGCTGGATGTTTTTAAGAAGAGACAGGACAATCACTTGTCTGAAATGGTATAGGTTCTCCTGCTTGAGCAGGGGCTGGACTAGAAGACCTCCAAGTTCCCTTCTAGCTCATTTGTTCTATTCTACTCTAAATGAACCTCCTGTCTCTTTTTTGAAACCCTCCAGTGATGGAGCACCCACAACTTCTGAAGGCAAGCCTCCAAGTTAGGAGGTTTCACCTTAATTTCAGGTTGCTTCTCTCCTTGATTGGTTTCCATCCATTCTTTCTTGTCCTGCCCTTTGGTTCAGGATAGTGCTCTTACCTTTTTTTTGTCCCAGTGGACAAAACAAAACTAGAAATTTGAATGTAACAGTAGCATTACAAACTCCCAGACTTGTAAAACTCCCCCCCACAAATAGTTTTCCAGCCTCTGCAGGTCTACAGACTTGGGGGGGTGGCAGGTTGGACTAGATCAGGGGTCTCCAATCTTGGCAACTTTAAGACTTGTGGACTTCAACTCCCAGAATTCCTTAGCCAGCAAAGTTGGCTAAGGAATTATGGGAGTTGAAGCCCACAAGTCTTAAAGTTGCCAAGGTTGGAGACTCCTGGATTAGATGACCTTAGTCCTGGGTCCCTTCCAAATCTTCTAAAATTCTGTAGAGATTCTCAGTCATCCAGGTCGTGGTTGTCCCCAAGGTGCTTTTTCAGGAGGCAATTGGACTTTCTTGGGTTTTCTTTTGAAGACGTGAATGAGAGAAGCGAAACGTCTTCAAAAGCGGGAAAAAAAACCCCCCATGAAAGTCCAGTTGCCTCTTGAAAAAGCACCTTGGGGACTTCCAACTCTTGTTATCTCTGTTAAAACTACTATACCCGGCATCCTCTTTTTTTTGAGGGGGGGCCGTCTTGCTCCCTCCTCTCCCACAATGCATCGCGCCGCGCCGCCTCCCGGCCCATCCGGGTGTGTACCCGCCCGCAGTGCATTGTGGGAAGCGCGATAGCGGCGGGGGGAGGGGGGCTCAACCTGCAGCCATGGAGAACAGCAAGGATGCGCCAGGTGAGTCTCGGCCCTCAGGTGGGGCGCCCCTTCCCCCCCCCTCCCTCCCTCCCTCCGCCGCCTGGGAAGGGTTCTCTCCCCGCTCTTTTAAACAATGCCTAGTGACGACGCCCTTTGTCCGGTGGTGGTTGCTTTGTAGGCCTTCGGCCTGCTTTATGAATGGTGGCGAGGGACCATCATCCCCTCCCGAATGCTTTCCACAGGCGCGTCGGACTACAGTTCCCCTCCAGGCAGGCGAGCGACGGCAAAGGGCTTCGTCGTCTGCCTCGGTCTCTTGTGCTGGCGCGGTTGTTGTTTACTGCCGTGCCTGTTTTGGGGGGTTGACTAATTCTCTCCCCCCCACCCCCCGTCCCCGGATTTTAATTGTAAAAGATTGGAGGAGAAGAGAAGAAATGCAAAGATCCAGGAATTGGAACAGCTTCCCTGTGGGAATTATGATATTACGGTGGGGAGGGCAGGGAAGCAAGCCAGCAAGCAAGCAAGCAAACGGGGAAGAGGGACAGGATGGTTATGTCTCAGGGTGTGAATGTGATGGAGAACCATAGCTCTGGTGGTATTCAAACAATACATGCCATAAGGATGTTATCTTGTTGGGCCGAGTTGGAACAGGTCATTCACCAAAAAGGCAGCAATATGAATTTTCTAAATACATAAAATAAAAAGGTCCCCAAAGAAGCACTAGGTCGCCATGATATAAAAACGATGTTGGGACTCTAGAAGGAGGGCAGAGTACAGCAACAAAGATGATTAGGGGACTGGAGGCTAAAAGATTTGGCATAGACTCTCCTGCTGGAGCAGCGGGTTGGACTAGGTGACCTCGAAGGTCCCTTCCAACCCTGTTATTCTATGAGATGAAGAACAGTTGCTGGAATTGGGTATGTCTAGTTTGATGAAAAGACGGACTAGCGGTGACATGATAGCAGTGTTCAAATATCTGAGAGGTTTCCACAAAGAATATATTCTCCAAAGCACCTGAAGGCAGGACAAGAAGTAATGGGTGGAAACTGATCAAGGAGTGAAGCAACCTAAGAGGAAATTTCCTGACAGTTGGAACAATGAATCTGAGGAACAGCTTGTCTTGTTGTGGGTGCTCCAACATGAAGTTTTAAAGAAGAGATTGGATAACCGTTTGTCTGAAATGGTATGGGGCCGTGATGGCAAACCTGTGGCACGCAGAGCCATTTGTGTAAGCACGCGAGCTCCATGCAAATTTACCTGCACTGTGCAGGCATGAGCTTCCCAGCTGTTTTTCGGCCCGTTTGAGGCCTTTTTCTGCCTTCCAGAGGCTCAAGGGAAGCCTTTGGAAGCTGAAAAACAGGCTTGTTTCGTCACTTCTTGTATTTCCAGAAATCAAGCTGGGAGGTGCGTGCATGCGCAGTGCAGTAGGGGGGCAGCATGGGGGGGGATAGCGCATGCATGTGCAGGGGGCTTGAGGGGGGCGCATTGCCTTCTGGGCACACACAATTTTTGGCACAGGAGCCCAAAACGGTTAGCTACCACTGGTATAGGGTTTCCTGCCTAAGCAGTGGATTTGGACTAGAAGACCTCCGAAGTCCCTTCCAACTCTGTTATTCTGTTCTTCAAATACTTCTTGATTTAATACATTATAAGTCTTTGTGTAGTCATTTAACCTTTCCTTTGTTTACTGCAATTTCTGTGCTAGTTCAGTGGCTTCTAAGTAACCTGAAAAGCCATATACTGACAAGCACCGGAGGTACTATTGGCATTGCTCAGAACTAACAAAATATGTTGCAAGAGACTGCAGAGATACTCAGATTATTCTCAGATGTATATATTCACCGGGTTACTTCATGCCACTCATTCACTCTCAGATTAATCTACCTTAGAGAGGTGTTGTAAAAGGGGTCATATACTTCTATGGTAGGCAATAGGTAATTGTTGCTATCAGTACTCTTTTCCTCAATTGTCAGTGGCTAGGAAATTGACTTTTACTACACTGGGAAATTATCTCCTTTTAATTTTGTAACATTTTTGTTCTGATTGTTCTGGGGAAAAAATTAATAAAAGTACAGCAGTGCCAAAGATTTTTAGCTTATTGATTGCTGGAAGTGGATATTAGTGGTACAGGCTGCCTGCTAAATAACTGTTCATAAAGTTGCTGCAGCACAGTGCATGTGAACATAGAATGTTTTTAATCTTTAGTTGATGGAAGGTCTTTAGATGACTTGGGACGTCAAATCAATGCTGATTTTCCTTCAATTGTAAGAATAACATGGCATCTTTTTCATGCTCCACCTACATTTCATTATATTGCTAAGGTAAAGTATGCAATAACACCTTCCCCCCCATGAAGAGTGGGAAACCTGTTCATTTCTGACACAAATTTTGGCAAAATACTTAGATCAGATCTCAGTTTCTTAGATTGTTTTAAAGACATAAAATATATTTTATTAGCCTGAAGTCCAGTTATTATTCTTGGTTTACCTAATGGATTTTACACTGACTTTCATTTTAAGTTGTTTTACAGCGATTTATAATAGTATATAAGATTTGATGCAGTAAGATTAAAATGCTAAAGTTAATTGCGGCACAAGAAAAACACAATCCAGAAAAAAGCACATAGAAATTAGTACATTATTGACAGGTGCAACAACTTAAAGCAGGAAGGTGCTACATTCACACTTCAGCACTTTTTAATCATTAATTTTTGTGCTGACATTGCGTTTGTAGAGGGAAAGGGAAACTTGTCATTTTGGATCTCTCTTCCTTTGCAATTGTATCCTAGCAAATCCTCAGCTGCCAGCTTTTAGTAATTCTTGTGTCCCCACTTCTCGCTAACCAGGGAAGGCCAGCCGGTGGTTTGGAGTTGCGATGCCCAAATCGGTGAAGACCAACGTGAACATCCTCCATCAGGAGAAGCTGATTGCTCAGAAGAAGAGGGAAATTGAAGCCAAGATGGAACGGCAAGCCAAACGGAACCACTTGCCAACCCAGCAGGCTTCACAGGGGAGCGAGTATGTAGAATTGATTCTTAATTATCATTCTGATATAACTAACAAACAGGTGATGGTGGGGGCAGCAGCAGAAAAGAATGAATTGGTGATGGAAGACTTGTGTATTGGTAATTGCTTAGCCCTGGTGTGATTAGTACAAAAAAGGCTCAAGAGGATAAGGTGGTGAGAAAGAGTTTTATCTATAACTGGACAAATTTTCTCAGTCAGAACAATAACTAGACTATGTGGATGAGCCTTCAGATTGTAATAGACTATTTCCCATAGCCTCGTGCCATATAGGGCTTTAAAGATCATAACCAACACCTCAAAACACCTTCCCAATACTGGAAGAGGGAGTGGATGGGCTTATATAGAAGCATAAATAAACCCCAATACTGTGACTCTTGCAACTTTTAATACCTTTTCTCTTTTTCCCTTCAAGTGACGACAGTGGTGATGGTGAAAGTGGTGTTTCAAACAAATTTGCTAACGATGGCAGCTTCCTCCAGCAGTTCCTGAAGCTGCAGAAGGAAAAACAAGGTAGTAGCAAGAGGTTTACTTTTGTTTTACCACATTAACACTTGTTGATCAGAATTGTAGCTTCAGCAGAGTTTTTTCACACCACAGAATCTATTAAAAATTGCCCTGATTAGGAGGCAAGCACTTAGAACGGGCAACTAAAAAATAAACTGCTGAAAACGGGCTCCAGCACACGTCTGAAAGCTCGCAAGACGAAACCTTTGGTCCCAGGGACCAGCCGAGTTTGGATCTGGCAACGGTATCCTGGGACACGTATATTCACTTCCGTTTGAAAAAGTAAACTTGTTTCTTGTGAATGAGAAATTAATATTCCCGATATATCTAGAATAAAATTTAATTGTCCTCTTGCCCACATTGGTAAATTTTAGGAATATAATTTGTTGAGTGCTACGTGGCTGCAGATTTTGAGCTTGATGGGTTTTTTTGGCCTGATCTAGCAGTGCCATCTTGCTCTCTAAGAAATGCCTCAATCTGCCCATGTTGTGGGATGGAAAGTGAATAAAATATTACTTGGCTAAGGCATCCTTGAGAAATCTGAGCAGGGATCTGGAGTAGCTGATGCTCCTAATGCTGTATCACATCAGTCTTTCCATCTGTTCTCCCCCGCTGCCTCCGCAACTCTTCAATTGTGCAGGTGCTTCTTCCAGTTCCTCAGAGAGATCCCATCTTCCCCCTGCAAGTACAGTGAAGAAACCCCCCTTGAGTGGGAAGCGTCCCAATCTTAGTGTGAGCAGCATGTTGAATCAAGTCAAAAACTACACCCATTCCAAGCAGACCCCAGTAACGAATCGCCTGAGTGTTTTCCAGTCGCCAGATGACGAGGAAGAAGAGGATTATGAGCAGTGGCTGGAAATCAAAAGTAAGTTTCTTGGCGGGATGTCATCTGTTTCTCTAATGCCATCTTAAAAATGTGATTCTTCTGCCCTGAGGTACTTTAGCAACTTTATTGTTTTTTTAAAAAATGTGTGGGAGAGAAGATGCTGAAAGTGCTTGAACGCCTTAAAAAAAAGAGGCCGGTTTTGTTTGCGAGCTAAAAACAAATGCTGAGTGAAATGTAGCATTCACATCCTGCTGGGGCAGTTTTTTGGGGAAGGATAGCAGGGAGAAAATGGAAGGAAATAAGAAAGTGGAATGGTTTCACTGTGATTCAGTAAGCAAGCCAAAAATAGGCTAAAAGGTCCTATAATCAATCACTGAATACGTTTACACAACATATTAAGCCACTGAATTGGTGCAGGACAAAATGACAAATCAGGGTTAGTTGTGGGCTCTTTATTAACTACCGCGTCAGCCAACATCCTATCAGAGGCTGTTCAGTTAAAAAATCCTCTTTGTTTTTTATAAAGTTGTTTCAATATTAAAACATTATACATCCAGAGGGATTTGAATATACACATCTTGCTTGTCATTTGGGGCAGCTCTTGTCTTCTGTCTATATAAAGGGTAGAACAGATCTTGTTTAGATTTCAGTAATGCTCTGGAATCTAGATTAATGTTTCTCACCCTTGGGCATTTTAAGATGGGGACTTCAACTCCCAGATAATGTACATTTATTTCAGACAATATTTTCAAATCATGATGAAGGTGCTCCTCCTTAAGTACCACTTAAATCCATATCCCAGGTTCAGATATCACACCAGGCTCAACCTCATCATGGTTAGCATGGCACATGAATCAAGCCATTGTCAGGAATTGTACATTATGGCAACGTATAAACTGTGTTTGCTAGTACAGTTTCTCAAAATAAATTCAACTATGGTTTACGCTAAGCTAAACCAGCTAGGTATGCTTGGCCTGTGCCACATGCTTAAACTGACTATCTTGTGGATATTCTGATTTTTTTTATGGCTTAATGTGGTACGACAGCAGTAACAAACCTCTTCCATATCATTGCTAAGAACGGAAGATATCCACTAGGTTACTGAGTGTCTTGCACAAGGGTCTTCAAACTTGGCAAGTTTAAGACTTGTGGACTTCAACTCCCAGAATTCCTGAGCTAACATGACTGGAGGAGGAATTCTGGGAGTTAAAGTCCACAAGTCTTAAAGCTGTCAAGTTTGGCACTTAGACTTATATACTGTTCCATAGAGCTTTACAGCCCTCTGAGCAGTTTACAAATATCACAATATTGCCCCCAACAATCTGAGTCCTGATGTTATTGAGCTTGGAAGGCTGAGTCAATCTTGAGCCAGTCAGGATTGAACTCATGGCTGTGGGCAGAATCAACCTACAATACTGCATTGTAACCACTGTACTACCACAGTTTCTAGGTCTAGGTCAACTAAGAAGTTATTTTTATGATATATGAGTCCATCCTTTTTTTGGTTTATTCAGATCATACCAAAAACAAATAAAGCTAGTTCTCAGTTTTTTCCCTTTGTAATGCTTAACAGAACAATCTGACATCATGGTGCAAGGGAATAGTGTATCTTGTAGCAGACAAGGTTACTTTCACAGCCATAACTGTATAGCTTTGATGAAGTTTACCCCAACCACTGATCTGCTTTGAAAACAGATTACAGTTTGAATATCTAGCGGCTTTCTCCCCTGTCCAAAACAATTACAAAATTTGCCAGATGGGTTCTTTTGAACAGCCAACTATGAGAGATATTCAGAATAGGAATACAGCAGGCAGCATTCAAGTATTACATTAAGATATAGTTAGGCTCCTTCCAAATCATAAATCTCATCTCCCTTACATATAACCAGGAGATTTGAACTGACCCTTATTTATCAGGTCATTCTGATTAACCGGTGTTACTTTTAAACAAGCTTTGTCTAATTTTGAAGCTGATATACTTAAACTAAGCTTAGTTTCCATCAGTCATAAATCCTGATTCAGATGGCACAGGAAACCTCAGTACTTAAAAGCAGACGCTAATTTCTTTTAATCCCTTCTTCCACAACCAGGCAGAAAAATGGGGCCGAAAGCCAGTTCTAGCTGAACTTCTGCCAGAAAAAGTGGGCCAGTTTAGGCTCTATCAAGGGGAGAAACAAGACTTCCCCACTTGATTTTTGTTCGCTTGACTAGAATCAAGAAAAGATTGCATTCTTTACTTAATCCGACAGCCGTTCCTGGATTTCAGAACAGGACTGTATAATCTCAAAAACAATTGCCTGAAATCAGAAGGTAGAAGGGTACCAGTAGCCTCAGCCAGCACATTCTGTTTTGGGGATGCTATGAGTTAATTATTTAGCAATAACTGGAGTTGCAGGTTTCCTCAACCTTGCCTTAATGCAGATAGCAAAGCTTCTATTTGGTAGTCTTATCTTTGGGACACTTGAGAAATGAAACTCCTTGTATAATTTTCACAGGTGTTCGAGGATGATGATACCACTAAAGGAGAATGTTTGTAGCTAAGGGTTGAAATGAGGGTTGTTTGTGTTCTTTGGGCTTGGTTATTTTCTTGCAAATGTTTCAGTACCCAAACTAGGCAACATCGATCAGTGCTAAGCACTGATTTCCCTGGTTTGGGTAATGAAACATCTGCAGGAAAACAACCAAGCTCAGAGAGCACCAAGGACCCCTCAAGGGTGATGAATTTCAGCCTTTCTTCCTGCAGGTTTTGGGGCCCTGGGTTCTAAGGTCCAGTCCTTTCACAAGCTCAGATCAAAGATCTGATTTGGTATCGGGTTCTATTGTTGCAGAAGCTGCCTCGGCCCCTGGGTGCATCTAGTAGCTATTACTCCAAACCTGAAGATATATGAACCTCAGCCCTACCACGTGTCTTTCCCACGCACCTTCCTTTTCTCCCCTCCTGGATTAAAAGCGCCCGGCTTACATTGCTGTCCACCATGTCTCCATTATTTCCTCCTCTTCTCACTCCCTACCCTGCCTTCTCCCTGCCAATCATGGCTCTTAGAAGTAATGTGCCTGTTGGGTGTGTGAGTAGAGAGCCCCCTGTACTGACAGCCTGCTTAAAGTTTGCCCCCCAGAGGACATCCGGACCCGCCGAATCGTTGAGAAGCTGGCCAGGGTGGTGGCCGAAGGGGGCCCAGAAATGGAGAAGGTCGCGCTGGAAGACTGCAAGGATAACCCAGTGTTTGCGTATGTTGTTTCCTGTTTCTCCACGCGCAGGGTGCCCTTGATAGGGGATTGGGTCCAAACTCATCACCAAAAGCCCTAAGGTCCTGTCAGTGGTTCCCCTCTCAGTGGTTCCATCCACGGGATCTTCCTTCTCCTCCCGGGGCATATCCAGGACCCCTTATATCATCCTACTTTGGGGACTGGAGATCCATTGGTCTGCAGCCCCCTGTTCCCATCCCCGCAAAACAGCCTTAAATATACCCCTTCGCCCTTCTTTCTTGCTTTCAGGTTCCTACATGATAAGAACAGCCCAGAATTTCTCTACTACAGAAAGAAACTGGCTGAGATGTGGAAGAAGAGCCAAGATGTAGAGGAGACCCCGCCTACTCAGAAAGGTGAGACTGTTTCACAGCTTCGTGAAGTCATTTGCTTTGCTCTACATCAGGGTTTCCCAATGTTGGCAACTTCGGGAGGTGTGTGGACCACAACTCCCAGAATTCCCCAGCCAGCACGGCTAGCTGAGGAGTTCCGGTAGTTGGAAGTCCACATGTCTTAAAGTTGCCACAGTTGAGAAACCCTGGCTTACAGCGTTGTGATCAGCCAGTCAGTCAGCTTAGACTAGGTAGTTAAAATGAATGTGATAGTGTTAACGAGATTGGGTGCGTTTTAATTGGTTCCCCAATTAAGCATGACTTTCACGTAGAATTCTGGGTTCAGTTACAGTCGTACGTCGAAGACTACTTGTACTTAAATTGTACCGGTTGTATTTGAAAGTTCAGAAGAATGGGGTTTTTTTTTCTTATTGTTATCTAAAGAAGAATTCTGTTATGTTCAACATTCATACCTTGCTGTGCCTGGTAGATTTCTTACTACAGTTAGAAAAATGGAAATCAGACCAGAAGTGAAGAATCAGGTCTTACTTCAGACACCTCAGACATATAGTTGCTTGTATTATAGTTTTTTTAAAAGTATTTCTAGGTTGGTTTCTAGGCAAAATATTTCCTTGCAAATTAACAATGTGGTTTGGATATCAAAAAGGAAATGTTTTGTGTTTAAAGTACATAGACTTTTAACTGATTACATTACCACCCTGCGTCCCTTAATATGTCCTGTGCACAATTCAGACCATTAAAGTAGTAGTCATTGCAAGGGAAAATGAGGATCTAGATCAGGGGTGTCAAACTCGCTGGCAAAGGGGTTTAACAAAGGGAGGGGAAGTTGTGATATGTCATGTGACAATGCGAGTTTGACACCCCTGATCTAGATCGAATGAAATAAAATATTTCCAAGCGCTGCACCTTCAAAATGTTGAAAGCTGTTGTTTTATCAAATTAATTCAGGGAAGAGATGTTGATAATTTTTGAATGACCATTAAATTGGAGAGTATCTTGTCACAATGAATATGTGCTGCTTCTGTAATCCAGATGGCATTCATCAGAATAGATTAATCCTTTGCACTGAGGTTTCATTACAGCTGTGCTCTCGATCTTGGCACCTTTAAGATATCTGGATTTCAGCTCCCAGAATTCCTCAGCCAGCCATGTTGGTTGGGGAATTGTGAGAGTTGAAATCCACATCTCTTAAAGGTCCCGCGATTGAGACATAATGTACTAGACTAAAGTATCATTCTTGGCCTTTGCAGCTATTTAAGGACATGCTTGAGAAGCATTTCCTTGGTTTAGCGATGTAATGGAAAACCTCCAAACCACTGCCACACTTCCAGGCTAGCCTTCTCCCGGTCTTTTTTAGAGCAATGTCAAAGGCTAGATCCATTTTTTTTTTCTAACTTGCATTTATAAAGAAAAAAAAAGGGAACAAAGCAAACATTTCAACCCTCCTCTTCCCACTTATTCCAACCCTTTGGGATCCTTAAAGCCAGATTAATCTTGTGACTGTTGGGTGTGTGAGTTGGGGACACCGTACTGACAGCCTGCTTAAAGTTTCACCCCCAGAGGATGAAGAGACCAAGGACTGTGCTGAGAAGCTGGCTCGGTTTGTGGCCGACGGGGGCCCCGTGGTGGAAATGGTTGCCCTGAAAAACCACCGAGAGAATCAGTCGTTCAGGTAAAGAGGGCTGGTGAGAAGGGAGATGCTGGCAAAGACGCCAGCTTTTCCGATTCCCAAATGATTTTTAAATGCTGAAAATCTCACAAAAAAATTTTTTTTTGATGATGATCTGTCTCAGGACTGGAGCTTTCTTCTTTGTGGGTTTCAGGGTAGGTGGGGCCAAAAACAGAGTCAGTTCCTGCCCCCCCCCCCCAAATCTGGACATTTGACCAATGAAATCTTAGTTTGATTCAGGTTGAACATCCAAACCCATCCTTCTCTGTTTTTATGTGTACTTAGATGGGTAAATGATTTAAACTTGGATTTCTGAGCCTGATTTTGTATCCTGGTGTGTCAACTAAGTTTAAATCTGAGGGGATAATGATTTGATCAACTTTCTGTGGAGACCATGTGAAAGAGTTACTGAAAGCAAAGTCAAACCATAAACCTGTTTTCTGTGGGAAGGCCATACTCCTATTGCAGTTGCGTTTATCTTCCAAGATTTGAATTCAGAAAGAGCGTGGAGGTGGAGCTGTGTGTGTGTATTGCAGAATTGGCAATTCCTGTAATGGAAATAAAAATACACTCATGGGTTCACAAAACTCTCTTCATCAAGGGAGAGAGACAGCCAGGCCCTCCTGAAAATAGCTGGATAAGCTCTTTGGGTTTATTGTCTCTGTAAATGACAGCTTGCTGGATTTAGAGTGGCTGTGTGTCAGATTTTCCTCAGCTTGATCCTCTAAGGAAGAATGACCCTTAGCTCCATTTGTTGAGAAAGGTATAGTTTACTAGAAGTCAAGTGAATTACAGTAGTGCATAGCCAGAACTGAAAATCACTTGCCCAAATCCTTAAATCCCCTCCCTTAGTTGCCTCCCGTTACCGGGCCCCCTCCCAGGTCAAATCAAATTCGAACAAGATGTTTTTAGAACAATCACTTCAGGCATAGGTCTGGTATGCAGCCGTGTCCAGTTCCCAGCCAGTTAATTTTGAAGCCCACCCCGGAGAGATACCATGACCTTTCGTTTTCCCTTGAAGCGTCCCCCGTCCCATCCCGCCTACCCCCCCACCCCCACCCCCAAGGTTCATGGCAACTGATACTGAATGGTAGCCAGAGTGCAAGCATGAGGTGGCAGCTGACACTCTTGTTTTGTTTTGTGTACGCTTGCAGATTTCTGTACGAGCCCAATAGTTCTGGATACAAGTATTACCAACAGAAGCTGGAGGAATTCCGGAAAGCCAACAGTAACATCGAGGGCATTCCGCCAATATCAGAAGCCAACCTGAAGCGCAAGGCCTCTTCTGAGGGAGGACCTTCCTCTTCCATTTCTTCTTCCTCCTCCTCTTCCTCCTCCTTCTCCTCCTCCTCCTCCTCCTCCTCTTCCTCCTCCTCCTCAACAGCAGCACCCCCGGTTTCTCTGCCGAAGCAGGCGGCCTCATCCAGTGCGAAGAAAAAGCGGAAAAGCCGCTGGGGCCCAGAGGAGGAGAAGGTGGACTTGCCTCCTCCAGAGCTTGCGCAGCAGACGCAGGAGCCGTCGCCAACGCCCTTGTCTGGTTAGCGCTTGTTGTGTTTTAAAGCCAGTGCAGAGCTGGGGCTTGTGAGGGGGGGCTGTTGCGGGGGGTGAGTTTCCTCACCCAGCCAGCCAGTTTTCTTTCAAGCAGAGGGTAAAGTGCTAGAGGAGCGGCTTCAGTATACCGACACCTTTACGACGGGCCACTTACTGACCCTTCAGGGTTACGACGGACCTACCAGCCGCACTTGACTTACAACTACAACTGAGTTCCCCATTTCTGTCGCTTAGTGAGACAGCTGGGAAGCAAGTTTCGACCTGTTTTTATCACCTCCCTTACCACAGTTGTTAAGTGAATGACGGCAGTTATGTTAGTAGCACGGTCGTTAAGTGAATCTGCCTCCCCCCCCATTGACTTTGCTTCCTCCCCCCCCCCATTGACAGAGTTGGGGAGGCAGATTCACTTAACGACCGTGCTACTAACATAACAGCCGCCGTCATTGACTTAACTGTGGAAAGGGAGGCGATAAAACAGGTCGAAACTCGCTTCGCAGCTGTCTCACTAAGCGACAGAAATTGGGAGCTCAGTTGTAGTCGTAAGTCAGAAGGTCGCAAAAGGGGATCACATGACCCCAGGACACAGCAACGGTCATAAATGTGAGTCAGTTGCCAGGCATCTGGATTTTGATCACATGACCATGGAGATGCTGCAATGGTCACAAGTGTGAAAAATGGTCATAGGTCATTTTTTTCCCCAGTGACATTGTAACATTGAATGTTCACTAAATGAACTGTTGTAAGTCGAGGACTGCCTGTACCTTGAGGGAACTTACAACACAGATTTGAAGTTCCGATGGTTGGAGGGTCATGTGACCAAACTTCTGAGAACTGGGCAGTGTGGGCTCCTTTACAGCCATTTCCAGAATCCTATGAGCACATTTTGTCCCCCCAAACTGGGCACTTCCACTTTTCGACAAAATCATGCCCATAGCAAATCATCACTGCGAAGAAAGATCACATGACTGACCTGTCTTTACAACCTCCCGACTTATGACCATAATGGGCAGGCTCTATTAGAACAATAGAGTCTAAGGACTTATATGCCGCTTCGCAGTGCTTGACAGCCCTCTCTAAGATGTTTACAGAGTCAGCCTATTGGCCCCAACAATCTGAGTCCTAATTAGTATTAGTATTAGCTTACTTAATTGTCAGTGCACCTCGTACAATGAAATTAAATACCATCTTCAGTGTATATATACATGTATGTATGTATGTATGTATGTAGGTCTAAGTGTGTTCGGGTCTTTTCCTGTGTAAGAGTAAGAGTATCTTGGCGACATTTCGGTGGGGTCCTACTCTCCATCCTTAGGCTGATGCATTCGGCTTCGTGCCAGTGCAAGCAGTGTGTGATCGGAGCTGCCGTCTCTCTATAAATACTGATGGTGGGGGCTGGTGTGCTGGCCTGGTTGGCTGCGCTGCTGCCTCTTGATTGGTTGATGGAGTTGATGTTGGTATAATGGGCTGTGTGATGGCCTTGTGAGTTTTGTTGTGGAGATATCCTGGATCCTGAGTCGTTTGTTTTGTAGTGATCTTTTTTCCATTAGCCTCTCGTGTTTTAACGGCTTGGGTAATGGGTTGTGTGATGGGCTTGCAAGTTCTTTTGTTGTGGTATCCTGGGTCCTGCGTTGTAATCTCCTGGGT